TTGGCTGCCCAGATACTACCAGAATGGGTGGGGGGGGCTGAGATCAAGCCAACCACCGTGTGCTCCAGAGGCTGATGCCCTATCCCCAAGTTCACTCCATCTCCTTACCTTCAGAGGGTCCCTTATCCTGCTTTCCTAATGCGGTAGCCAGGTCTATCCCTGGGGCAGCCTGTCCAGTGGCTCCCCGGGGCCCCCGCTTGCAAAGTGGGTTAGTTTTGGTTTGTGACTGGTCTGTGCATTTCATCATTTTCATTTCTCTTACACTTACATTTAATTCTTTGAGTAGTGAGTTCTAAAATGCCTAACCTGCCATGGCTGGAGCCATTATCCCTGTGGGAATTGCTGCTCCTGGAAGTGCTGGCATGACCCTGCAGCCCTTGGGAAAGGGTGAGCAGGGGGCATCCACATGCTGTCCCTTATGCTGCTTTCCTAATGTGGGAGCCAGGTCTATCCCTGGGGCAGCCAGTGTTGGCTGGCCAGATACTACCAGAATGGGTGGGGGGGGCTGGGATCAAGCCAACCACCGGGGGCTCCAAAGGCTGAGCCAGGTCTTCCCTGGGGGCAGCCTGTCCAGTGGCTCCCAGGGTACCCAGGGGAGTGGGACTTGAACTCGCTTCACCCTCTGCTCCAGAGGCTGATGCCCTATCCTTAATTTCACTGGAGATCCCACTCCACCTCCCTGTCTTCAGCGGGTCCCTTATCCTGCTTTCCTAACACAGCAGCCTGTGTTGGCTGTCCAACCATGGACAGGCTTTGAAGCCACCACCCTGCGCTCCCCAGGTAAATGCCCTATCCTCTAGGCCACCCCAGAACTCACCCCACCTCACTATCTTCAGCAGGTTCCTTATCCTACTTTCCAAACACGTGAATCAGCTCCATCCATAGGGCAACCTGTGTTGGCTGTCTGGCTGCTCCCAGGGTGGGCGGAAGGGGGGGGGCCCACAAGCCCCCAACCCTGCACTCTCCAGGCAAATGCCCTATCCCATAGGCCACTCCAGAAGCCACCTCACCTCCCTACCTTAAGGGCATCCCCTCCCACACTCCAAACGCCTTGGCCCAAGACCAGAGCCTGCACCCCAACCCCCTATCCCAGCCTGGTGAAAGTGAATGAGATTCGGGGAGGAAGGGGGGTGGAGTGAACAGAGTGAGGCTTCAGAGTAGGGGTAGGGCATGGGCGGGGCCTCAGAGAGGCAGGGGAAGGAAGCCAAGCATGGGAATTTGGGTTTGAGGTAGATCTTACATTGCACTTAAATTAAAAAAGTGATCTCATGGTTAAGAAGGTTGGAGACCCCTGCTCTATGACAAAGGATAAATGGGCACCAATCAGACATTAGAAATGGTAACACACATAAATCTATTGGGGAACATTTTAACTTGCCTGATCATTCAATCATGGATTTAAAAGCAGCCATTCTTCTACAAAGAAATTTCATCAGCCAATTACAGAGACAGTATGTGGAATTGGTATTCATCTACAAATTTGACACTGTTCAAGCCCAGGAAAACAAAGACATTAACTGGATGTCACTTTATAAAACCAGTCTCCTCTGCCTTTAACAATTGCAATTTTACATAAAAAGCTAAGAATGGAACCTTCCAGCCCACTTAATTAGCCTCATTAGCACCAGCCCTCCAATTGACAGGAAGCCCCCTCCACACTTTATACATAACTTGGTTTCTATTATTTCCACTCCAGATCATCTGATGAAGTGGGTTTTACCCACACAAGCTCATGATACTATATATTTTCATTAGCCTTTAAAGAACCACAGAACTACTCGTTGTCCAGAGATGTGAAGCTTCAGCTATCTCTTTTCTAGTTCATGTACCCCAGCAAATAATCAAGTTCTGTAGACCAAATTAGGCCCTTGTTTACACGTGGACAGCTCCAGGGTCTTTGACTTATGTCCTGAGCATCACTTTTAGGCAACTCTTTCCTTCCAAGAGCTTATACAAATGTAAATGATCGAAATTTTGAGCCAGTCTATAACCAAGAGCAGTACCCTACTCTGCAAACAGGTGGCTGTATAGACCTGACCCAAACCTACTGAAACCACTGGGAGTTTTTCCATTGATTTCAACAGGTTCTGGATCAGACTATATGAGCACAATAATTTACTTAATTTCCATTCATGACTAAGGGTCCACAATGTAGCTCTTAGCAAATATGCTGATGATGCAAAAATTAAAATAGAACCCAGTATAATCCCTTTCAACTGCTAGTGGAAATTAACGGCAGTTAAAAATAGCAGAAGATGACCAAATATTCCAAAGGGGCAGAGCTATTGAATAAAGAAGTCCCATTTTTACACACGCACTTTGCAGAGTCAAGCCATGCTTTAAATTTTCATTACCTGCTTCAAACTGGCTTTGGGGACTATCGTAATCCTACCACCTCCCAGAAGCAAGGCATCACTTCTCAGCTCTAGGTATCAAATCCATTGGTGTTATAGTGTATTACATTAATCTCTTATCTACCATACTCTGCTTTTGAACTTCTGCAATAATGGTTCCTCAGTGACCTGATACTGCCAAATTATCTTCTCAGTAATGCTCACGGCAAATTATTCCACTCTTAAGGGGGAGTCTACACTGCACCCTTACCTGGAAATAAGCTATGCAATTTGCACTACACACATTGCATAGCTTATTTGAAATAGCTGATTTCAAAATTTGGCACGGTGTAGTTCTCACCCTTTTTATGTGATCACCTCCAAGCTCAGACACGTATCATGTGCTTCCTTTCTCATCTTTTAGCTTTAGATGTATCCATTTCCCCTAAACTCACACAGTAGATCATGCTTTTCATAATGGGCTCAGCTAGCATCCACTCCTCCTCTCTCTGACATTCTGACAATGCCTGTTACTTGCAAACTTCTCACATCCAATGGCGCCTTACTCCCATAATGGAACAGTTAAAATCAAAGGGCCAGATACTCAGTTGGTGTAATCAATGTATTTCCATTTCTTTCAATGGAGATATGCCAGCTTATACCAAGTGAAGGTCTGCCCTACAAAGAACAAAGCACAGAGTGTTAGCGTGTAGTAGTTTACACAATTAACCGATAAACCTTGCTTATCAGTTAATCTTAATGACTACATGCACGCCCGCTTGCTGTCTCTGCATCAGAGGCATCTACGAGAGGGCAGGTGGGAGCTGGTGCCCATGGGGTGCCAGGATCCCCCTGCACTCACTGTGCTGCTCTCTCTGACAGAGAGGGGGCAGCAACGCAGGAGGTGAGGGGTGCAGATGGGATCCAGTACACATGGGAAGCCAGCTTGCTGCACGTACCAGCTCAGCTCCCACGGAGCCGCCTGTTCCTCCTCCCAGCCAGAGAGGGTGGCGAATGCAGAAGGGGGGGGGGGGGGAGGAAAAGACAGGACAGGAGAGAGACTGTACACATGGGAAGCTGGCTTTCAAGCCGCCTACCCTACCCCACTCCTACAGAGGCATCAGCGCAGGGGGCAGATGGGAGCCAGCTTAAGAGCCGGTTGCCCAAGAGGAGCAGCACCCACCAGACTGCATGTAAACATGTAACCTCTAAAAAAAAAAATCCAGTGGTTACAAGTTTGCACAAATACATGTTAGCTAACATCCCTACTGTGGGGCTTACATATTCACTTAATAAAAATGTATCATTTTTACCAGGCATTATACACAATGGTCCAAATTATTTAACTCTGACTTCAGGGACCAATGTAAGAGTTTACAAAACACAAGAATATCCATATTGGCTCAGATCAATGGTCCATCGAGCCAAATATTTGGTCTTCCAACAGCAGCCAATGCTAGGTGCTCTGGCGGAAATGAACAAAACAGGCTGTCATCAGGTGATCGATCCCATTGCCTATTCCCTACTTCTGGCAAATAGAGGCAAAGGACACTATCTCTGCTCATCATGGCTAGTAGCCATCTTTTTGCACACTGCTATAGTCTTCGCCTCCCCAACATCTTCTGGCAAGGAGTTCCACAGGTTGACTCTGTGTCGTGTAAAAAATACTTTCTTATATGTTATTTTTAAACTTGCTGCCTATTGATTTCATTTGGTGACCCAATGTTATGAGGAGTAAATAGCACTTCCTTATTTACTTTCTTCACACCAGCCATGATTCATAGACCTCTATCACAGCGGTTCTCAAACGTTTTGGGCTCCGGAGCCCTTTACATGTGTAAAAATGTATGTGGAGCCCCAGCAGTGTGTGTTAATTGCGTTAGTTCAAGGTATTTCTCAATTATGCTTTTGAAGGTTTTCCAGTTTGTCAACCTCACGGAGTCTCTGGAGAAGTCTCGTGGAGCCCTGGGGCTCTGCGGAGCACAGTTTGAGAAACACTGCTCTATTATATCCCTCCTTCGTCATCTATTTTCCAAGCTGAAAAGTCCCATTCTCTTCATATGGAAGCTGTTCCATATCCCTAATAATTTTTGTTACCTTTCTCTAAAGAGTTATTCTTTTTACTGTTACATGAAACAACAAATTAACTTTGATGATGTGTACTCAAATATAATTAGTCAAAATTCTACAAACTGGGGCCAGATTTCATGGGAAAGGAGTGTTTTCTGCAGTTCATTAGCTCACTTCATTTTAACAATTAAATAGGGAATCTAGCTTTTCACTGCAATTTCTCTCTTGTAGAACTATTTAAAAATATTCTCACAACACGGCATTTAAGGACTAGAAAATGTATGGCTGGGAACAATCCTAGACTGGCTGGAAAACAAAAACCTACCAGAGCATCTGATCTTTCTTATTTCTCTAATTTTATCTGTATAATAGATCTTCTAATATGAAAAGTCTCCCATCTTTCCCAGATATTTAAAAACATATCCATTTATCTATTAAAAGAGACATACAGATGCCCAAAGGGGACAGTTTATACCCATTTCAGATTATGCATACATCTGAATTTGTGTGTGCATAACAGGTGAGGTTTTCTTACTACAGTTTTTCTAACTGTAGCCCAGAGAGATGGGGGGGGAAGAGTCATTTTCTCTACATTACCTTATTTCGACATTCCTTCAGTAAACCTTCAACAAATTTCCAGTTTGTTTGTGCAATTACTGATGGAGAGAGATTAGACAGCTTAGGCTGACGAATGGTGCTGCCCAGATTCCTGGCTTCTTGGATATACTTCTGTACAAAAAAAAGACAGAAAAAACAAATGTACCCAAAACCAAGAGTGACAAAATGGTACACAGTAGCTATGAATCAGTGTCAAACTTAATCTGTCTTTGCTGCCTCATGCCCAAGAGGGGAAAAGATCACATCTTTCAGAAGAATGCTCTTTTATAAAGGATAAAGACATTTACTGTATTGTTTAACTGAGCTAAAATCCCATTTAAACTACCCAATTAGCAAACACAACACGCAACACAACACAAAACTGTTTGGACCCATAGTTTTAATTTCTCCCTCTACTAGTATGGAGTGGTTTTTTTTCCCCCTCCCCCTCAGAAAAGAAAAAGACTTGTTGTAATCATAACTAGACATACTTGATATTACTAAAAACAGGTTTCCTAAATTATTTTGTAGGTAAGTGATGATGCTTTAGGTGAAGGTGCAAGGGTGACAGTATATCTACACTGCACTTAGACCCCTGCAGCTGGCCTATGCCAACTGACTTGGGCCAAGGGGCTGTTTACCTGCAGTATAGACAGCTGAGCTCAGGCTGCTCCAAGAGAGTCCCAGAGCAGTCTGCCTCCCCGTCAACATCTACATGGCAATTAAATAGCAGCTTAACCCAGCAGCTCGGCTTAATGTACAGGCAGTCCCCGGGTTACGTACAAGATAGGGACTGTAGGTTTGTTCTTAAGTTGAATCTGTATGTAAGTCAGAACTGGCATCCAGATTCAGCTGCGGTTGAAACTGATCAGTTTCAGCAGCGGCTGGACGCCAGTTCCGACTTACATACAGATTCAACTTAAGAACAAATCTACAGTCCCTATCTTGTACGTAACCCGGGGACTGCCTGTATATATATATTTAGGGCTGTCAATTGACATACGTTAACACCTGCGATTAACACAGTCCAAGTTTAATGCATTACATTTTGTAACACGTTAATCGCAGGCGTTAATGCTGCACTGCCCCTCTGAAGTACTGCTGTGGTGCTTCAAAGGGGCAGCTCAATGTTGAGCCTGGGGTCAGCTGTAGAGTCCCCAGCTGACTCCGGGCTCCACTGCCCCTTTGAAATGTGCAGAGGCGGCGTTTCAAAGGGCCAGCCGCCTCACAGCTGATCTGGGGCTCCCCCGCTGACCCCAGGTTCCGCTGGC